CAGCCCTTCCAGAAGGACCATGTGACCCAGGCCCTCTGAGTGAGCAGCCCAGAAGCCACTGCAGCTGTGGGTCACTGGTATTCTTGCCTTCCACCATCAGATTCGCAGGCTCGCAAGCCATCAGGGAGGAAGTGAATCATCTTCCTGCATGAAGTTAGTGGTGTGCTTCCCTGGAGCTGTCACAGCCTTTGGGAGCCTGGTAATGAATGCTGTGGATTCTAGACATCACTGCTTGCTCCAAAAGAAGAAGGTACTCGTGGTGTTGGATGAACACCTATTACCCCTTGACAGTGCCACACATAGTACACGTACTCAATGCCATCCAACTTTCCACCTAAAAGTGGGCAAGGTAAGAGGAGCATGGTGGCACACACCTGTAATCCCAGAAGTTGGGAGACAGGAGGATCAGGAGTTTGTTTTTAGCTGCATAGTGAGTCCAAGGCGAGCCTGGGCTACGTGAGACCCTGCTTCAAATAAACAGCAATGACAACAAAAGATGAGGTGGAGTAAGTGTGGTAAGTTGGGTGTGGTAGTTCACACCTGTAATCCCACCACTCCGGGGGCTGAGACAAGAATTTGGATGTTAATTTTAGGTCAACCAGGGATATAAAATGAGACTGTCTCAAAAAGATGAAAATTAAAAATTAAAGAATGCATTTAATCTTGTGCATGTAAATATTGTGCATACCTCACCACTATAAAAGTGAAGTAAAACAGCTGACAAGTGGGGAAGCCAGAACTCACACAAACAAAGCATCCTTGTTTGTTTGACGCTGGTCCTTCCAAAGGCCACTTCTGCGGTTACTGGGATCTGGAAGGAAAGGTCAGGGTGCAGACTTCCTCTCTGCCTCCAGGGGGCAATGTTGCGAAAATCTTTGGGGGAGCCAGGCTTTTCCTACAAACTATTCCTTAGTGGCCTACTCTGGTTCCCTCTCTCTACCCCACTGTCAGCACCATCGCTCCCAACTCATGTCCCCTCCAGCTTTGCTGCACTCAAGGACACAAATTATTGATGACTGTAACCCCATACTTGACTCTTTCTGAACACATCAGTTTATGTCATCCTTCCAAAATCAGAGAAGAATAGGACCCCTTCCAGCCACCTCCCCATTTTATAATGAGACTGACAACCAGGCAGACGCAAGACCTGACCAGTGCCAGCATAGGGATGGAAAAGTGAAAGCTGGGGCCCCAGGCTACCCAGTGCCCAGCTGGAGCCCCATGAGAGACCCACTAAAGCCCCCACAGAGCTCCCGCTGTTAACACTGCCCCCCATGCCCCAGGCAGTCTGCTGAGTTCCCAGTTTGGCCTTGAGCCCCCTCCCATCCGGTTGGGGGCTTGGGGGCTTCCTTCCCAGTGATTTATTGCCTTGGGGGCTGTCAGTCAGGTCAGGCTGGCATCTGCTATGATTGACTTCCTCCCCTTCATCTGCTTCCAGAATCACAAGTCATCACCACGGTCGTCATGGCTGCCATATTAATAATGAGCCTGCATCTGCTCAGCTCTCAGAACTTAGCAAGCACTAATCCATCCATCAGCTCATCCCAGCCTTGACAGCTCTAGAGAGGCATTTCACAGACAAGGGCATGCAGGGTCAGAGAGGGCAATCAAGGGGCTCCAGGTCACCCAGAGAAGGCCTCTCTGGTGAGAGGATTCTGCCTCCTTGGAGAGAGACTGCCCACTCTCTAGGGAGATGGGGCGCAATGATGATGATCTGTGTGGTCCTGCCTGGAGGTTCCTTGTCTTTTTTTTTTTTTTTTTTTTACTGCAGCGGAGGCCACTGGCCCTCAGAGCATTCTTGCTAGGTCAGGATTGAAGCATCCAGTGCCTAAAGAGTACCAGGTGACTAAACTCCTGCTCTCTGGGAAACAGGCCTGCCACTTCTAGAGGAGGATGAGGTTTATAGCCCTGCATGGAGGCAGCAGGACCCAGGGGAAGGCTGCAGAGACATAGAACCTGGGGTGAGTGACACCCCTATAGTCTAGGAGGTGGGGGGTTGGCTAAGCAGCTTCAGTAATCACAAGTGGCTGAGCAGGTTGGAAGTGCCAGGGGTGGGGCTGAGCCAAGGGAAGGATCATGACACAGCCCCTCCTAGAGTCCCCTTCACCCTGCTGGCCTGAAGAGCATGATGTTCTGGATAGAGAGGGCCAGCAAAGGGGAGGCCCTGACTCTTAGCAGGATGGAGGCTATTTCTCCTCTACTGGCCAGGGAGAGGTGGACAGCCACTCCAGGGCTCACTGCACTCCCAACCTGAAGAAGAGTCTAGACTGTAGCAAGTTGACCTTAGAACTAACCATCACAGGTAGTGATAAGTCCAGTCTTATTTTAGACACTGAAAAATGATACACATTTCTTACTTGTTTCTATATGCTCTTACTTATTTCTATATACTCCCAATCTGAAGAAGGGACATTGAATTGAATGTGCTCCCCATTCCTTCCCAGACTGAGCTCGGTGCAATACCTTTGATGCCCTTAATTCAAAGCCTGTCTCCTGCTGCAGAGAAACTAGAGTATGCAAGTGTGTGTATGGTGGGGGTTGACTCTGAGCAAGTCACCTTTCTGAGTGGCAGTGTCCTCATAAGAGAAGCAAGCCTGGCATTGCCTTCCCTGGACAGAGCGAATGAGCCACACATGGAACAGATCTATATAGCAGGGAAATAAACCCAAAGCCACATCTGAGGCTGGGCAAGCCCAGGCTTACTGAAGACCCTCATTTGCCACCCAGTTAGGCTAGAGTTCATTTATAGATATCCGCTCCCTGACTGGCAGGCCAGAGGGAAGTGAGAATGAAGGTGCTGAGGGCGCAGTTTGGGGTGTTTTGGGGGAAGGCGTCTCTAACTATTCGTCCCCTTCTATGTCTTCTGAGCAAGGTCACAGTGACCATCAGGACCTTCCTGGTGGTTTGAGGCTGTGACTACTTAACAGATGGTAAGACTGGGTCCTAAGGAGTAGAGGATTTGCCCGGGAATGGTTGTGACAGAGCTGGGACCAGACCAGAGCTCAGTAGTCTGGTTCCCTGCATCCCTCTTATGTACCGCGAAGCAGATGGCTTCACAGCTGAAGTCTCCTGTTGTGTCAGGTTTACAGAAAGACCTGTCTCTACGTGGGCTACTCAGAGAGAAGGGCTCAGGTTCTGCCAACAGCTCCGGGTTTGCAGCAGCATCCTGCTTGGCATGAACCACGGGGCTGTGAGAACGTCAAGGACCCTGGGAGCTGCAGAGTTTTGCAAACCATGCCAACAGCAGGAGAGGACGCTAAAAAAGGCATCAAGTTTCACAAACAATGGGAGTCTGCAGATGGTGTTGGGATCCGCACACCCAGTGCGGCTGTGCAAAAATCACAGGTTGCGGGAAACACCAGCACCCCCAAGTACACTAAGCCAGGGAGCTCCTGTAGATGGACCCCACTGAACTATGTATTAGTCCAGGCCTAGTCTGGGCCTATTCAAGCCTCATAAATTCACATAGGTCCTTGACCTTTGCTCCAGCTAAGCACACCTGGATTCAGGAATATTCTGGTTCCATATAAAGAACCTCTAAGGCTAAGCCGATGATAAGAGAGCTTCTAGAAGTCTAAAGGGACCTTCCTTCTTGCAACTGTGCACCTATGAGTTGGAATCTGGAGGGTTCCCTGCTCTGCCAGTCTTAGGAAGACACAGTGCTGACTGTAAACTGGAGGGCTGAGAGCCCAGATCTAATATGGCTTCCCAAGCAGGACTAGAGCACATTCTTTCAGTCAGTACAAGACAACTGTTGGCCTTCCTCCACTGGCATGTGCCCACGTGACTGGTCCTTTAAGGACACCTTCATTCCAAAGCTGTTGGGCATCCACTGAGTGCCTACTAGGTGCCAGACAGATCTGTATTTCACATAGCCCTATTTTCTATGGCCAAGTGGACTAAAGGAAGTTTCTCTGTCACTGCAGAGGAAGCTAGGCTCTAAGACCACAACCCCATTGTATGCAATGGTCCTCATCTGAGATGGCCTTGGGCTCATTTCTGTATCTTGAACCTGGGCAGATACTCTTCCCCTGAGAAGACAGCCTAGGTTGAAGGTTTTAAAGCCTGATTCTACATCAGAGGGCCAGGACATGTTGCCCCAACTACTGGGGTGCTCTATGGCAAGTGACTGAGACTCCTTGACTCATCTGTGAAGTGGGGAGCTCCCAGCCTGCTGGATGAAAGGGACCCTAGAGAGCCTCACTTGCAGGCTCTGCTGAGCAAACCAACAATTTTCTCCTCAGCCTGGTAAAGGCACCCAGCTCCTGCCACACCCTCCAGCTCAGACTCTGGCCTCCAGGCTTAGCTTCTTTATATATTTATTGCCTCACTATTCAAGTCAGCCAGCCATGCAAAGGAGAATTTCGGTCCTGTGCAGATGAGGTTACTGGCACTCGGAGAGGTGCAGGGACTTACTTGCCTGTGACTCTTTGTCCTTTGGCTAGGACCAGCACTGGGATGGGACCATTCCTCCAGCTGTCTGCAAGGCCTCATCCAGACATCTCTAAGAATTTCACATTCACCCATTTGTCTTGCTTCCTTTTCCCCCTCCCTTCCTCCCTCCATTCTAGGTGGTTATGCGTGATGGAACTTTGGGGACCCATGATGCTTGGGGGCAGTTGTTTGTTAATCTGAATCCTTGGGGCAGATGGGAAGGAGCAGCTGTTAGTGAGGGATGAGGGCAACGGGGGACAGGGACAGGAGTGTAGTAAAGGAGGACCAAGGCTCAGTGGGGAAGCAAGGGAGACAGCAGCCCCACGGGAAGGGGGCCTCAGTCTGGGGCTGCAGCAAAAGAGACTGAATGTTCTGGAATATTTGTCCCCTGAATGGCCCTGAACTTAAGAAGAGCCATCAACGGCTTCTCACTCTTGCTTCTGCTGCTAACACCAGGGAACTATCCGAAGGCCAAGAACTAGGAAGTAACCCACACAGTCTCAGGGCGGGAGCAGCTTCCAGCCAGCATGGGGGCTGGACCTAAACAAACCCGCCTCCTGTACAACTCTGGTCCCGGGCTGTCCCAAGCCAGAGATCAGAGGAATTCATGGAGCTAAAGAAGCAGACACAGCAAGTGTCAGGGCTGGGAGCCAGCAAAGGAACAAGTGCCCAGAGCTCTCAAGAGGGGCTCAGATTGAGCGGGGTCTCTACCACCTCTGCCTCGAGGGCAGTAGCTGTCCAGTGTGGCCACAGAACTAGCCTAGGAGGGAGCAGTCCTCTGTCAATGCTCCCTGCTGCTGCTCTCTCAGAAGCTGTCTCCAGGAGCCCACCGACAGACTCATTTCTTCTCTGCTGAGCTCCAGGTTGAACCCTTGGCATTCCCCCAGCCATGGGGCCCAGAATAGGTAAGTGCAGGTGAAGGAAGGGAGGGAGTTGGGAAGGAGCCTGGAGGAGCCACGCAAAGGGTGAGACTATGGACCTCTGCTGGGGAGACAGGTCCAGTTCTGCACAGAGCGACCCACCGGTCTGTGGAGGGTATGTGAGTGAGAGGGGCAGGAAGGGAAGCCATTTATTCAGCTGAAGGCAGGAAGCCCGGCCAAGCCACCCTGGTGAGTTAGAGACCTGAGACCTGCCCAGCCACCATCAAGCTGATCCCGCAGTAAAAGTGAGACAATGTAGAGATGAATGGACAAGGTAGAGAGCCGCAAAGAGAGGGAGGGGAGAGAGCATGTGCGCACAGACACGGGGACCAGCAGGTGTTAACAGAACTAAGGGATAGACTGGGAGGGGCGTGGCCCTGAAGGAGGGTCATGGTAAAGATCGGGAGGGACAGAAGAAGGAGACTGTGAGTGTGAGCCAGAAAGGCAGAAAACCACCAGACCACAGGGACAGACGACCAAGGGGACGGACAGACAGATGCTAGGATCTACACACAGGAGGGGAGACCCTCATACACTTACCTGGCTTAGATGACAGTGGGGTATGAGGAGACTAGAGGGGAAACATCTGGAAGCGTCCAGAAACCAAGCTTGGAATGGCATAAGGAAAGCGCAAAGTGGCCAGGGCAGAGTGACAGACCCACCTGTGACCGCGGTGGAGCGAAGGGTCCTTTACACAGGGTGGCTGGGCTGGATGCCCCGCAGTAACCCTTGGCCTCCCTGCCTGTCCGCTGCAGTGTCAGCCTCCCACCCATTCAGGCAAGGCCAGGCTTGCTCCCGGGCGGCCACAAGCAAGGCTTCTGTCGAACAGACTGCACAGTGTGACAGACACAGCTTGGGGACCCTGGCACACCAGGAAGGGTGGGGATGGATGCTTCCTCTCAGGAGGCCTCACAGGACAGGGGAGGATGAGGTCAGGTTTGAGGGGGTGGAGTTTGTCTTGGCTTTGGTGACACAGGATTTTGCTTATAGCCCAGGCTCATTTCCAACATGTCGTCCTCTGGCCTCCAGTATGCTAGGATCACAGGTGGGCACCACTGAGCCTTGCACAGTGGGATGGTTTCAATGGGCTTGTGGGCCATTGACTAGTAAAATGCCCATTCATCTTCTCAGTGTGAATGGTGGGGGAGTCGGAAACCTGCGGCATGGGAAAAACTAGCACCCTCAGTTCTACACCCGCCTCCCCTCCCTGGCTTTACAGGGCCCTCTAACTGATCCCTGACATACATGTAACAGGAAGCTGTCCCAAGTCCTCCCACTGAGTCACCAGAAGTCGCCTCCAGCTGTGTTTCCTCAGCTTCTGTCTGGGCTATGGCCAGGCTCAGGACCGTGGGTAGAAGGATGAGAGGATGCAGATGACTCTCAGTCTTTGCAGAGTCCGGGGCCAGCGTCCCACTAGGGGCAGACATGTGTATCTCCCACAGAGATAGGTTGTCAACTTACATGTGCCCTTAGATAGCAGGCAGAGTCCTGTCTGTGTGGCGGGGAAAACTAACATCCCACACTGTCCCCATGGTGAGATCCAGGGAAGCCACTCTCAGGCCTCTGCCCCGTTTCTCAGAGAGCCTACGGAGATTTGACACTTCCAACACCTCTAAATGAAGCGTAGCTGAGGGCCTCCCTGAAAGCTGGAGGAAGCCTCTGTTGGCCCCACTGCACAACGGACACACACACACCCCAGTTCATCTTTCCTCACTCTAAGTGTGGCCAGCGTTGCTTGCTCTCTGTGGCCCTCCATGTTCAAATGAGATCTTCCCAGGACAGATAGGGGAGTGGAGGGACAGCCTCATGTTCAAATCCCAGCTCTGCCCATGGATAACATGAGAACTCAATGAGATGTTGCTCTCTTTCAATAGGTGAGGGAGCAGGTACTCAGAGAGGACGGGTGATGGCCCAGGATCACCCAGCAGCTAATCAGCAGAGTAAAGGCCAGAACACCCATCTTCCTGATGTTAAGGCTCTCTCCTCTGTCACTTGCCGGGGGCTTCCTCACTCCACACTGGTGAACCCCGGCGTATGTTGTATACTGCCCGCCCTTGCACCTCTCAGGGACTATGTCTATGTTCACAGCAGGTGGCATGTATGGTCCCTCGGTCCCCAGTGTGTTTATAAGCTTGTTCTGCCACGAGGGCAGCAGAGCAGAGGCCTCTCTGTGAGAGGCCTTTACATCAGTGTGGGTGATTGAAGCATGGGGCAGCCATTAGAATGGTGTTGTCCCCCCAGAGGCTGCAGCCAAGGTCTAGCAATTTCTCTGGAGTGTTAAGGAAGGAGCCCACTCCCAGTGGACAGGGAGGACTGGGAGATGAGGCTTGATACCATCCGTTCCCGAGGCCGTGGACCCAGCTGGGACTGGACAGAGCTGAGGTGAGAGGATTGCTCAGTGAGTAAACAGCTCTGTGTCCTGTCCCAGCTCTATGATGTCCATCTATAGAGTCAGAAACACAAGCCATAAAAACAAAAATGTCAAAGCTTCTAACGCCTGAGGCACAGGCCTGTCATCCCCGCTACCCCAGAGGCTGAGTCAGGAAGATTGAAAGTTCAAAGTCAGCCTGGTTAGCTAAGTCAGTGGTACAGCATGTGCCTAGCAGGTGTGAAGCCCTAAGTTCAATGCCCAGGATCACAGAAAAGATAAAGAGAAAAGAACACCAGAGAAAGAGAGGCCAAACTGAAGTACCTCCTCATGGAAGAGGATATAAAACTAATTGTTTTTCTAATTCCAATTGTTATGTTTTTCTTTTCTTCTTTTTTTGTGGTGGACAAATGCATTAAAAGTATAATTGAGCAAAGTCCCAAGGTTTCAGAGTAACTGACTTCAAACTATAGACAAGTTCACTGAGATGTTCGGTTTGGGATTGGGACAAGTACCTAAGTGACTTTTTTAATCTAACTGTGTGATGCTTTTATTTGTAATTTCATTACAATAAAGTGACTTTTTCTTGAAAATAATACTGAAAAGAAAAAGTCAAAGTTTGAAATAGGCAAAAACAAATATTTGGCCAGCAGCTAGGGGGAGGAGGGCAAGATTCTAGGGGAGGGAATACCAACAAGGCCTGAACAGAATGTAGATTCTAGAAGAGTAAATGGACTGGGCATGTTTGTGGGTTCAGTGAGCAATCAGATAAGAGAAGGGGTCACTGGGAGCTATCTCAGAAAATTAAGCCAAAGCCAACAAAGACTCTGACACAAGAGCCCATGTGAGAGTTGTCATAGAGACTCTCTCAGAGGCCGCTGGGGCTATAAAAGACCATGCCTCTGTGATCTGTCCTAGGAAAGCTCACCAGAGCCCTACTCATGTGGCACAGTTGTGAGTTCAAGTCAGACTTCTGTCCAGTTAACAAATGAGAGAAACAAGCCTGGGAAGAGCCAGCAGCCTGCCTCAGGTAACACTTCTGGTCAGAGGTAGAGAAAGCCAGGGACACCCAAGCACCCTCTGGAGCCTGGGTTCTTGGTGGCTTCCCTTTCTCTTTAGAATCGCATGAGGGCTCCCAGTGCTCTGTTGATGTTCACTGGGATGACCTGTGTGTGGCTGCTGAGCCTAACCAAGGCCCTCAGACTTGATGCAAGTCTGCGTGAATGGGTGACTTGGAGGTCAGCTCTAGCACTGAGAGTGACTGATGAGTTCCCTATGTGAAGGGAGAGGAAGCATGGCCATGGGCCCACGGCTTCTTCTTTAGATCTAAGGACACTGTCCTGCTTCCCCATGGGTTCAGGACCCCCCTCCCCAAGCTCTAGTCTCTAAAGGTCATCATGGGTTTAGACGGGGTAGTCAGGGCCAGAACTGGGAACAGAAAGTCCCAGCACAGGGCCCTGACCCAACTCGGAAACCACCAGAGTGCCTACCCTCCCCATCCTGACAGAGCTCCCTCAAAAAATAACAGCTGGACCTCGAGTTGCTTTCCCTGCTCACAGGCCACCCAAGGGTCCTTCCAGAAGGAATTTCCCAAAAATGACAGCCAAATCCAATTCCTGTCTGGAGACTCCCTCCCCGTGTTCTGCCTTTGACTCTTTCTCCTTCGAAGTACTGGGCTGGGTCACATTGGAACTGGAGCTTCAAGCCCCACAGTCACTCTTTGTTACCCTGGCCACCCCGACCTGTGGCCCAGGCTCCAGTCTTGTCAGCTATCTCATTCAGGTGAGCTCAACTCAACAGGCTTGCTCTTCAGTTAGGTGAGCTCAACTCAACAGGCTTGCTCTTCAGTTAGGTGAGCTCAACTCAACAGGCTTGCTCTTCAGTTAGGTGAGCTCAACTCAACAGGCTTGCTCTTCAGTTAGACCAGGGCTGAGAGATGAGATGAGAGGAGGAGGAAGGACAGTCTGTCAAGAGCATGGCGTGCATAAAGGCAAGGGCAGCATCTGATTAATTTGGGGAATGGCAAGAGTCTATTGGGGCTAGACAATCATGTTCTATTGGAATGGGGAGATGAAGCCTGAGGCTCTCAGGGGCCTTGAACTTGAGACTGGGATGATTCAACTACTCTCCACCACCTGTATGCTATCCTTCCTAGGCTCAGACACTATGCCTTTAGTTCTGGGAGCTAGTAGCTTTTTCAGTGACACCAATCCACTATCTTGAAAGATGGACCTGTAATGGAGGCCCCCTTTCTTTCTGCTTTTAGCTGGGGCACAGGATAGGGCAGGTTCAGACACTGGCTTGCTAAGGTCAACTGCACACAACTCTCAGACCCCCAGACATGTGTCTTCAGCTCATGCCTTTTACCTGGAGGCATGATTTCCTAGAGAAACACTCCTCCCCAGGTGGCTCACTACTCACCCAATCTTATGTCTGGTGCTGAGAACACTGTCATTCTCTCTTCCTGGCTCTCAGCGACCAAGCTCACCACAGCAGTACACCAAGACAGGCATCTGAGCTTCCCCCAGCTTGCCCCATCCCTGGGTCCCTCCAATCTCTCCAGCCCCACACCTCTTCTGTGCTCCATCCAGCCTTGCCATATTTGTTCCCTATCAACCTTCCTACGTTCACTGCCTTTTTCTGTTTCTTCTTCTGAGAAGTCTTCCAGTACCTTCCATGCCAGGGTAGGACTTTTCTGCTGTTTCCATATCCTTGAAAGACCTGTTGTTATATTACTGGGCATCTGCCCCTGTTTGAGGTTCTTTAGTAGTAATAGTAGTAGTAGTAGTAGTAGTAGTAGTAGTAGTAGTAGTAGTAGTTGTTGTTGTTGTAGTAGTTGTAGTAGAAGAAGAGGATCTAGCGTGTGTATATGTGTGTGTGTGCCATGTATGTTTGTGCGTGTGTGTGTGCATGCCAGTGCGCACACACCACAATACACTTGACAGTGCACTTGTGGAGGTCAAAGAACAACTTACAGGAGTCTATATTCTCCTTCCAACATGTGTATCCTGTGGGTAGAAAGGCAAGTGCCTCTCCCAAATACTAACTCTCACTTCTAGAACCAGCAGAGCATCCCCTCTGTGCCTGCCATGGCGATTCTGGATAAGTTCTGGGCTCCTTTGACCTGTTTCTCCACCTTCAAAGTGGTTTACCTAACCCAGGAATCATGTCCAGGTCCAGTGTTGCTAAAGATGGAAGACAGGGACGTCCACAAGCAGGTGAAAGGAGACCTGGAAATGGCCTATGGCTACCCCACTGAGGCTCCAGCAGGGCGAGCTGCTCTGAGCAGTGTCATGGACCCTGAGTCCTCTCAGAGGTGCTGCGTGACAGATCTGCTGATCTTTCAAGACAAAAGCAAAAATCTGCCACTTGATGTGAAATTTCCTGATTTTTAAAAAAATGCTGGCAACTAATTTAAAAACAGTCAGCAAGCCAGCATTTTTGCAGGCTTCAAAACAAGTCCCCAGTCCTGAAGACCCTCTA